TGTAATGCCCGGTTCAGACTACACGATTTTAGCCCGATTTTGCCACGTTTTGCTTGACGTAGGGTGTCGTGGGGATTCGTAAACGACAATGGGCGTCGGGACGCAAGATTCCATCGTTTAAGCTTGTGTAGTGTGTCATAGTGGACGACAACCGATTCCGCGTCTGCGATGTTTCACGACATCACTACAGAAAGACTAGCATGTTTAATTTTTTTTCCGTCGTCCACGACGAGTTCTGTCACATTGGTGACGTTGACCAATAGCAGCACAGAAGCTCTTTCATACACAGGTTTCAAACATGGCAAAACGAAAGAGAGATGATGGTGCTGCTAGGTGGAATTATGAGAGGGAGGAAGGGTTTGTGGAGCTGTGGCAACAGTACTCCTGCCTGTATGATGTGTCATCGAGGGACTACCACGACAGAACAAAGAAAGAAAAATGCTGGCGAACTGAAGCGCTTCAATGTTTCAATGTTCTTGTTTTCGGAAGTCAGTCACTAGTTCCGCCTTCTCGATGACATCACGCGCGTCGTTAAAGACGGCACGCGATGAATGCTCGGGAAGCAACGTGTAGTCTGACATGTTTCTTGTCCACGACTTGACAAGATTTTAGGAGTCAAAATCGTTTAATCTGACACAGTGACTATCATGACCGACAAAAATATCGTCAAGTCTGAACCCGGCATTACATTGTAGAAATGCTATTCGCCATGATTCATTCATTTTGAGAGGAAAAGTGTCTAAAAACAGGTTTACTGAGATAAAGTGCCAGCATTTAGCCAGAGCCAGTGTACCGACGAAACATGCTACCTATCAGATTGTGCTACCAAAAATATATTTACATTGTTTTAAGGGTAAGTTTAGGGTAAGGGTAGGTGTGGACAGGTAGGTTTAGGGTAGGGGTAGGTATGGTCATTAAAAAAAGCCTCAAACCACATGAATAAGATGCTGGTAGCACAATCTGATAGGTAGCATTTTTCACTATCGATTTGTGCTACCTACCTTTTTAATGGGAGGTAGCACAGTCTGAGCGGGTACTAGCACAAATCGTCAGTTTTTTCACACTGATGAGGGGGCGGCTGAAGTTACGAAAGGGGCGATGATGTAGCACAAAGTATCCCAACTAAAAAACATTATGTGGCCCATTCACGTATTTGTCGGATTGTAAACAAACCTGCCTGCTACCACATGAAGGAGTTTTGGCTGTTAAAAACGCGAGACGCAGGTCAGTGGAATTAAAAAAGGTCAAGATCTAGAGACGTCTTTTTAAAAGCTGAACTTCTTTGAACTTGAGCGCCGTCTTTCAGAATGTTTACACTGAAATACAATGGAAAAGTACCTCAGTGGAATGAAAAAACGTGTTGAGTGAACTAAAAGCTACTTAGCAAATAGAGATGACAGAGTATTGAATAATAATACATAAAACAAAATCGCATATAGGCCAACATATTCGAAAATATGTTACCGCCACCACCAGAAGTACTTAAATTTGTCATGCTTTAGGCTACTATAAAACGCTCATTGCGACCGATTCACTGATGTAACACATAATCATTGTGGCCCATTTAACAAATGCATAATTTAATGGTAAGTTAGATCAACTTGAACAGCAACAAACAATAGCTACAGTGAAATAATCAGCTAACTATGATCATCTAGCCCTCTATTAAACGTAAAAAAAAATCTTTCATCATACCTTTAGCTTACTCAGTAGAGCTGCATTCTTAGTTGCACGGGAAGTTTGTGTGTCAAATGAAACAATTAAAATGTGAGTTCGTGAAATGGACTGCGCTAAATTGTTGCTATAGCAGCATAATATTAATGCTAGAAAGCCTGTGCATTTGGCAACTGTTTTTTTTTTTTAAATAAACTATTATATTTCATAATTAAAATCTATTTTCATATTTTGAGTGAGGGGGCCCTGCGTTTAGCTGATCATGTGATCTTAAAATGGTGGCCTCCTTGAGGTGACCCGCTCCATGTAAGATAAAATAGCTTTAATCTTACATGGAAAAGCTTATAGCTTTTCTACTGTTATAACTGAAGCACTATTTTTTTTTTTAAAGTACTTTGTATTTCTTGAGAAATGAAAAGGTTTTAAATGAGGAAGAGATTACTGAGTGCACATTTAAAACACATTGTACAAACAAACATACGGTGCAAATGCTGCAGCTGTTTACAATCCACAGGTTTTACTGGCTGGTCAACCTGAACTCAACAGTTGTTTTTTGGGGGATTGCCTACATTCAGCAGTCAGTTGCCAAAAACCTGTGTTTTCTCATCCCTTTCACCTCTGTTCTCCTCGCTCTCATCGCCATTCACATGGTGAGCAACAAGCTGACTTTCCGTCCAAAAAAAAGGTAACAGTGCCATTCATAACACATATACACAGAAATACATATATCTCTTGTCCAATAATTTCATAGAGAATTTATCTTAAAAATAACTACCAGTTGTTCAATTGTTCTTATTTCTGTTCCTTAACATCTTTGAATTTTCGTCTGTGGACTAACAGGCAGTTCCTTGCTAACTACGCTGGGAGTGTTCCTCAGTTCTCTCAAAATGTGCTGCCTCCATTATCGCCATTTAAGCGGAGATGTTGCCAACTGGTTAGACCGTGCCAAGGAAAACAACGGGGGTTGTTACAGTGAGACCAGTCTGGAAAACGTCAAGATCCTAGTCAAACTTTTCCCTCTCTTTGGACTTCAGCTTTTATATCGAGCTTGCATTACCCAGGTGAGTATGCTTGGCTAAATCTTTACTTTTGTTCAGCAATTAGCTTCAGTATCTTTATTTCAAATCTTTTAACAGATCCCATCAGGCTATTATCTGCAGACGATGCATTCCAACTTAAAGCTCAATGGCTTTCTCCTGCCTGTAGCAGTGATGAAGGTCATCAGTATACTGCCGGTGTTGATCTTAGCACCACTGCTGGAGCTTCTCAACTCCTGCTACCAGTCTCCAAAGAAAATACTGCTCTCACCAGCCACATTTATAAGTGAGCATCCTAACTACAATTAATGAACTTCTTGTTCATCTCATGCTGCCTTCATGTGCAATTGGAAATTGCTGGTTGAAAGTCTCTTCTCATCCCGATAGCAATCACTAAGTTACATGATCTAATGTATTCATCATCTGTGGAAAGCATAGGACCATAAAATGTTCGTCCAATCATATCTCTCTGTCCGAGGGCTACGATAGGCCAGAGATTGTCTTACTATTGAGAGATGAGAGGGTCTGTATTACTTACTATTAGAGAAAGCGTAATGGTCAACTTGGATCACATTCCCTGCACTGCAGCATTAGTATTAGCCGTTACGCTTTTTTGGCTAAAGGCTGCAGGTTTGCCTTCCAGTGGCTTTGGATAGGCTGCCCTACCTGCCTGTCAACATATGTATTTGCATACCTTCCTGCACCCTGTTTGCGCAGACATGATATGTCATCAGCGCAGAAAAGGAATGGAAGGTGTTATTATTGTAATATTATGTGCTTTGTAGTTGTACTGTAATGTTTTCTCACTGGTGAATGTGCCATGAGATAATCTGACAGCGTGGCATTCCACCAACGCCGTCTCTCATCATGTCTCTAGTTAGCCTCTGGCCTGCCTGTGCGTGGTCATGTGTTTTGGAGGAGGCGTGGCTTTGGAGAGTGATTTGCAGGGAGGGTGAGATCTTATGCTTTCAATGCTAGTTTGCTATTGCTAGGCTCTCCGAAATCGCCTACTGTACCTTTAAGTCATTTCTGTTCACATTGTTTGGTTAATTCAGCAGTGGCCTTAGAACTTATACTGATACCGAAAGGCATGCTACTTTTGAAATGATATAATACCAGTTTCTATGTTAATTTTATATATAAATAAAACCTAGTGCATCTTTACTATTTGGCTATATAAACTACATTTCCCTACAGCTATGGGTCATGCCTGTGCAGCTCTCTCAGCACTACTGGCAGGGATCTCCGAAATCCACAGGAAGGATTATCCACAAGTGGAGCAGACATTATCAGGAAAGGTCCTGCATGTGTCCTCTATGACCTGTTTCCAGCTTACGCCCCAGTACATTTTACTGGGAGTGGCGGAGGCCTTTGTGACACCAGCGTGTACGTATTCTCAATTCACTTTGTAAAATATGATTTCCATGATGCTAAAGTGCTTATTAGACAACATCAATCCAGTTGTTTTGTTGCAATAGAACATGAACTCACTTGATATTGTGTTTTATGATTCCAGGAAACTTCTATCCTAATAACCTCAGCAGTGGCAACATGGAGAGGTTTTTCTTTACTCTGGCCACATTAATGGCACTGGTGTTTTGGAGAATATCACAAAGGTACGGTTCAAGCTTTGAATATGAGATAAAAATGAAAAGTTTACAGATGTGTTTACAGATGAATCTTCATAATGTGTTTGGGCAGGTACGCAGATCTGAGCGTGGAGCTGAGTAGAGGGGTAGGACACAGTCACCTGTACGAGAAACTCCTGCAGTACAAGACCTGTCTGCGTTTTTATGACACATTGGATCGTTCGGACACCCTGACGTCCATGGAAACTGTCTTGTGAATTCATCGTACATATAAACCCTGTAATGCTGGCGTTACACAAGAGACTTTGAACGGAGTAGAGCAATAGCTGTAAATAATGACATTTAAATGTATTCAAAAAATAAAGCTATTTTATGATATATATAAGTTACTGTTTTAATGACTACAAAAACCATGTTACAAAACAAAAACATGGTAGTAGCATGTGAAGTATGTTTCTACCCAGCAGGCACGGGACATCAATATAACGTCAGGTTGACGCTGGACATGACTACTACATAAAGTATACTTAAAAATATACTTGAACTTTACTTAAGTATACTTACTAAAATAAACTTGAAGTATACTACTTTTTGGTAAGGGGACGGACAGACACTGCATTTTGATTGAGAATGAAAAGCGTTGATGTCAGTATTTGACGTCGACTAAAACTTGGATTTTGGTTCCACAACCTAAAAACAACAAATATCAACGTCAGCTGAGGTTGGTATTGGACATCAAATTGAAATTGACATTAGACATTGAATTGACATTGAATTTTGGTCACCCGACGTCGCAAACGAAATTGAACCAAAAAACGTCTTATGACGTAGTGTGCCTGCTGGATAAAATGTGGTAAGATGTTGCTGATGTCATGAACGTTATAACTGCGTTTCTGGAATGTTGTGAAAAACCCAACATCTGTCTGTAGTCTATCATGTCAGATAAAAATATTATCACAACCTTTTACAACACACAAAAAGGGTTTTACAACAGTTGTTTGCTGGGATGATACTTTTTGATTTGTTAACGAAGATCATCTTTGTTACATGAATGCTTATTTTGTGACTTTTTATCTCACAATTCTGACTTTTTCTTTCGCAATTCTGAGTTTATATCTCACAATTCTGACCTTTTCAACTCTGACGTTTTTCTCAGAAAAATTGTAAGATAAAACTCTGATTTATTGATTTCAATAAAAAAAAATTCAATTTTGAGAAGAAAGTCAGAATTAACTCGCAAATCAGAAAAGAAACGTCCAAATTGTCAGGCATAGGCCTAAACTCGCAATTTAATTCCGTGGCGGAAATAAGCTTCCATAATTTTACATATCTTAATTGCAAAATAGATCATATTGCTTATTATAATGAATGTAGAATTGAAACCCACATCGTTTGCCTTCCTTCCTCATCATACACTGCAAAAAAACGGGTTAATCTGAGCAGTGTGTGAGTGAAAACACCCCCCCGTCACAGCTGGATGAGATGAGATCCGCCTTTTTCGCTTCGACGGCTTTCAGCCTCACCCTGCTTCATACTACTACGTTAATAAATCATTAGCTCATCCATGAACATGATTTCTGGCTGTGGGGATGAAGACGACAACTCCCATGATTCCACACTCAGTCACTGCGTCATCAAACTACGCCTTTGCCTCTTTGTTTATTTTGAATACGCGCCCTCTAGTGGCGAAAATGACATATTGTGCCTTTAATTAAAGCTTGCATTAAAAAAAATCAGCCAAAAGATGTAAATAACACACACAATGATGACATAAAAATGAACTGTTCGAAAGAAACTAAATATTCTAAAGAACCGATTCGCAAAAATGAGTCGAACTTCCCATCACTGTAATGTTCTTTATTCGCCAGATAAGGATGTAGTATCAAGTCTCCCGCTTCAGATGTCACTTTACTTTAACATGTGGTTCTTTCCTTTCTGGTGGATCAGCGAGGTTGTGATGCTACAACTAAAGGTGATTCTCCTCTACCTAATATTTTTATTAAACAATTCAGTCTGAAATCACTGACTGACTATTGCTGTTTAACCTTATTAATATTCTGGGATATTACTGCTAATAATAAATAATTAAGCTTTTTCTTTTAGTACCCAGCCCTTGCAGATTATTACAAGTTCATCCTGATCACAATTCTTATTTTAATGACCCTGATTGAGGCCATCAGACTCTACCTGGGCAATGTTGGAAATCTGCAAGAGAAGGTAAACCTTTTTATAAACCTTGTTTACCTAAAGTATATAATATAATATGATTGTTTCCCCCTAATCATCTCATAATTTTTTTGCATAGGTTCCAGAATTGGCTGGATTTTGGCTTCTGACTCTTCTGCTCCAGTTTCCCCTGATTCTGTTCCAGCTCTTCAATGAGGCTATTCTCATTCAACCTCTGGAGAGAGGAGTTCATATAATACTGGCCTTATTTATTTTTGCAGAGGTATGAATCTATATATATTTCTGTATCGATATGAGATTATAATTATTTAAATATGTTTTAAAGGAATTTATTTTAACACGGAAAGACTGAATATTGTGGGGGGTTTTTCAGGCTCTTTTTGGATTTGTTGCCTTGCGTGCAATGGTCCGACACACTGAAAGTCGCTTCCATTTGCGACAATTTGATGGGATTCAGGAATTAAGGACGTGACGAGACCTGCACTGATGAACTATAAAAAAACACTACAAAGATTTATTTGAAAAATACAAAGACTTTATCCATTATCAGTGGCGAACACTAGAGGACACATCAGTCGTTGAGTTGAATTGTTACTGTGGATGTCTTGGTGCCTTCTTTTATACAAACAAATCTTGCCTTGTATTATATTTTGTATGTAAAATAAACATACAAAAAAAAAAAAAACATTTACAGACATAAGATAAAAACAGATTAACCACACTCCACTGTTATAAACCACTAAATAATATTATTTATTGATTCTGAATTTAACAAAATTACAAATTGAATTTATTAGATAAATCAAATCATTAAAAATCAGTTCCACACATGTAATTAGAAGTCACTTCCAAAAAAAAGAAATGATCACACATGGACATTTTTCAAGAAGAAATGACATCTCTTCAATAGAAAAGTTCATATTAAAATAACTTTAATGTACTACTTATTTCAGAATATAGCTTAAAAAAATGGAAAAAAAAGTTTTTGTTTTCCGGTGTTTATGTATCTTTTATTAAATGTATTTTAAAAATGCTAGTTAAGGATTGCACAATTGAAATAGTGAATTACATACAACTGCATATTCAGGCACTTGGCTTCACAGAAAATGACCTGCTCATCATCTTCTTCATGTGTTTTTGTCTGGCTTGACCAGCTTTTCATAAGATTGCAGCATGTGAGATGTTTGAGGCCAAACATCTGTGGACTCGTCCTCCACTTGCATGGACTCTTGACTCAACCGCAGATGGAATCTTGTCAAGGAAATCAGCAGCTGAGTTAAAGGGATAGTTCACCCAAAAATGAAAATTCTGTCATTAATTACTCACCCTCATGTTGTTCCAAACCTGTAAGACCTTCGTTCATCTTCGGAACACAAATTAAGATATTGTCTCATAGACAGCAAGTGTCCTTACACGATCAAGGCCCAGAAACGTAGCAAGGAGTTTGTTAAAATAATCCATGTGACATCAGGGGTTCAACTAATTTTACGAAGCTACGAGAATACTTTTTGTGCACAAAGAAAACAAAAATAACGACTTTATTCAACAATTTGTCTCCTCCGCGTCACCCTGGCGCCATTTTGGAGAGTATCTCATATGTAAACAACATATGCTGTTCGATGTCAGCAGCAGCGTATGCGGATACGCTGTTTACATTGTTTCTGCTTTGATCTGAACGTAAACAGCGTATCTGCGTACATACGTTGCATACTTTATGTATGTGATACTCTCCAAAATGGCGCCAGGGTGACGCGGAGGAGACGAATTGTTGAATAAAGTCGTTATTTTTGTTTTATGAGGGTGAGTAATTAATGACAGAATGTTCATTTTTGGGTGAACTATCCCTTTAACGTGCTACGACTGAGGAAAATGTGTAGATGTTCTTTCTGCGACATACTTCTCCTCACTGCTCAGGCTGTCTGTAGAAGCAGCATTTCTCCTGAAAACCTGAGTTTTGCTTCCTTTGGGCAGCCTCCCTAACCTCAGACTTCCGATCGCAGCCTGATTCCCAAACAACTGACCGTGGCTAAGGAGGAGCACACAATGACAGCAGTGAGAACAGATGATGACATTCTGCACTGTATGTGACTGTAAGTGTCAAGCAAACTGCCAGAAAAATAAACCTGTGTAGGTCAGGGAGGAAACGGGAATCATCTTGTTTACTGATTTGGTTGGCCCTTCTGGACTTCTCTGTATCTGGTAATGCAAGGCCAACCACAGCACCTGGTAACATGGGAAAATTAATCCGGTTGCAGGTATCATAATACACTAATACACTGCCAAAAACATTTGGAGACTGTGTATTTAAATCTGATATTGAATTTCAAATAGTGTAGTGCACATTTATAATGCACAACAATTTTATTTACTTTTTTCCCCAGCATATCGGCCATACCAGTATTTAAAGAAATAGCAAATGTTTACCTCGTCCATCTGTCTTATGACTGATCCTCAGGGTTCCCATGTTGTCTAGTGGCATTAAATGTTTGACAGGAATATGGGTCACTTGCATCTGACTTTCCTGCCTGAGTTTCTGTTGACTGTGGGAGAAAAGTCTTTACTTTTTATTTGTTTAATATCAGAATTGTGTGTGTGTGTGTGTGTGTATATATGTATGTATGTATGTATATACAGTATGTATGTGTGTATATATATATATATATATA